ATCTAATGTCCGCATATGAGGGAGAACATACGATTTTTGGTCTTTTGGGCCAGGCTAACCTCACTCAGAATGATGTTCTCCAATTCCATCCATTTACCAGTGAATGATAACATTTCATTCTTCTTCATGGCTGCATAAAATTCCATTGTGTATAAATACCACATTTTCTTAAGCCATTTGTCAATAGTGGGGCATCTTGGCTGTTTCCATAACTTGGCTATTGTGAATAGTGCTGCAATAAACATGGGTGTGCGGGTGGCTCTGGAGTAACCTGTGTCACAGTCTTTTGGGTATATCCCCAAGAGTGGTATTGCTGGATCATATGGTAGATCTATGTTTAGCTTTTTAAGTAGCCTCCAGATTTTTTTCCAGAGTGGTTGTACTATTTTACATTCCTACCAGCAGTGTCAGAGGGTTCCTTTTTCCCCGCATCCTTGCCAACACCCGTTGTTCGTGGTGTTGCTAATGATGGCTATTCTAACAGGGTGAGGTGGAATCTTAGTGTGGTTTTAATTTGCATTTCCTTTATTGCTAGAGATGGTGAGCATTTTTTCATGTGTTTTTTGGCCATTTGAATTTTTTCTTTTGAGAAAGTTCTGTTTAGTTCACGTGCCCATTTCTTTATTGGTTCATTAGTTTTGGGAGAATTTAGTTTTTAAGTTCCCTATATATTCTGGTTATCAGTCCTTTGTCTGATGTGTAGCTGGCAAATATTTTCTCCCACCCCACACTTTCTTAAATCTTGACTCAGCCCTTTTTTTTTTTTTTTTTGAGACAGGGTTTCATTAAATTGTCCAGGCTGCTTCCTGAGTAGCTGGGATTACAGGCATATATCACAGCCACAACTACAACCAGCTATATAGCTTTTTTTCTAATATAAATGCTTCCCAGGTTATTGCAAGCCTTTAGTTAATTTCCAGAGCTCTAATAAAGTTGACTTTTATAATTTCTGCCTGTGTTCCTGTTGCTATATGAAGGACAGGATTAGGATTTTTAGAGATCTTCACTCCCCCATTCCCACTAATGATATCCCACACAGATGGAAGCAAGAAACAGGAACTTGATAGAAGAAACAGTACTAACAAACAAACAAACTAAAATTAATTTTTAAGATTAGTGTTACTCTTTTGTACTTGTTTATATATCATTAAGAACTTATGGTCTTTTGGCAACACAAGGCATGGTGGTACATGTCTGTAATCCCAGCATTGGGAGGCTGAGGCACTTGGGGAGATTTGAGACCAGCTTGAGCAATATGTTGAGGCCTGTGTCAAAGAAAAAAGAGAGAGAGAGAGAAAAGAAAAAAAGGACTCATGACTTTTCAAAAGGACTTTGTTTTAAATAATTATAATTCTTTGTTTTGTTTCAGAGTGTTTACAACTGGGCTAACGGAGCTCCTTTAAACTGGCTATTCTACACTCATTATCTCTAGGTTTTTTTTTTTTTTTTTTTAAAGTACTAAGGATTGAACCCAGACTCCTGTGCATGCTAGACAAGTGCTTTACCACTTGAGCCATGCCTCTAGCCCTTTTGTTTTTGAGGCAGGGTCTTAACTGCTACCCTTGACTGGGCTGGCCCAAACTCATCATCCTCCTGACTTTTTCTCCTAGTAGCTGGGATTGCAGGCATGTACCTCCATGCCCAGCTTGCCTTTAGTGATTCTTGCTTTCAGACAACAGAGTATTTTGTATTGTAAGCACTTTTGTAAACGTCACAATGTACCCCAGTTCAACCATAATATGATTAAAAAAAAAGAGTCATCATATCAGGAAAAAACTACATTATTAACATCCCCCCCCAAAAAAAAAAAAAAAAACCTAGAATATTCTGGATCCAACTTGATTTATTTTCCCTGCCCTATGATGTGAAATCAGCAACTTTCCAAAGAGCCTGATCCTTTAAATACTATTAGAATAGGGTTGATGGTGTGGCTCAAGTGGTAGAGTGCCTACCTATCAAGTGCAAGGCCCTGAGTTCAAACCCCAGTACTGCCAAAAAAAAATTAAAAATAAATAAGTACTATTAGAATAATCGTAGAGCCCAAAGCTGTTTGCCAAGGATGCAAATAAGTGGTGGGCAGAAGTGCTACTATACTGCTTTTGAGCCTCTTATAGTAACAAAATAGGAAAAATGATTTTCCTTAACAGCCTTATTGAGGCATAATTGATAGAAAATAAACTATGATATTTAGGCATGTAATCCAATAAGTTTTGACATGTGTATACCTTGAAACCATCACTGCTATGTTTTTGTTTTGTTTTCTTTTTGGTAGTTTGGGGATCAAACCCAGCCCTTGCTGGGTTTGCAAGGACTAGTAGGCACTCTACCATTGAGCTACCCTCAGCCCCAGCCCCTACTGTTAGATTTCTGTTTTATAAGTCTACATTCATGTTTCCAATTTAATGCTCTATATTATTGTTCCCTATCTTTCTTAATAATAAGAGGTTTCACTGATCACTAAGAATTTTATAGCTCTTCACCTCTGTCGTTACACTACCAGTGTCCTACAGAGAGTATCATTTTACATCACTCTGATGCCATCTAAGCTCATTTCTTTGTCCCCAGATTTACTCCCGATAATCTCTACACTAATACGTGTTATCTATAACATCACTTGCATCACTAATATGTGTTATGGATTGACATCATTTGGTCCTTAATCTTTTCAGTAGTTTCTCATCATACACATTGATGAAATCTTGGCCTGTTCACAGTCTACATGTTAGCTTCATCTCCTGCTCCTTCCTCCTCACAGGCACACTGTGTTCCAGCTCTGTGAAACTATTTTAGAATTCCTTAAATGTGTTCTCCTTTGCATCTTTGCCTTTACACACTGTTGCTCTTTCAAATTCAACTTTAGATCTGACTGCCTCTAAAAAACCTTTGCTGAAAATGGCTCTACCCTAATCAACTATAACTTAATGTCAAAAAAATAGAGGAGGAAGAACAAGTAACAAAATAGTTTAACAAGAAGAAAATGTATTATATTTTATAACAAAAATTCCAAGGCAACATTGCTGGAGGTTTGATTAAATTATTGGCCCAGTAATATCACCAATGATCCAGTTCCTCCAAGAAGCAGGTCATCTTGTTCTAAAGTAGTTTCTCACAAGGTTGCATGATGGCAGCGGTTTAAAGAGTCAGTTGCAGCCCACATCCAGTGGAAGAAAAGAAGCCTTCTCCCTATAGTCACAGAATGCCCTGAGCAGACTGCCGCTCTTTTCTCATTGACTACCACTGGATCAATGCCCCTTCCTAAAAGGTTCACTGCTAAGAGGAATGCTATAGTTGTGATTGGTGGAGACAGATCAGGAGTTACCCAAGTCGCTTAGTGAGAAAGACAGATTCCAAACAAAATCTTGTTTCTGACAGCAGAACAGGAACAGGGGATAGTTCCCATATCCCATTTGTGAATTCCCATAGCAGCTTCCCATTTACTGGTAATACTTATCACAGTGTACTATCATGATTTACTTGCCTCCAGTATTAGACTATGAGTGACTTAATGGTGTTGAGTGTTGTCTGTCATCCTTAGAGCCCAAGGTGCTGGCTATAGTGGCTGTTGACATGTTACTTTGAAGATAAGAAAAGGCAGCTGAATCATCAGTTTGGGCTCCCTACTTTTTAATTGACCAGGTTAGGATGACATGTTCTGTCTTAATTTTTCCTTTGAAATCTTACTCCCTAATCAGTATTCATTGTTTATTAGAGCTGATTCGATGTGGTGTCCACTCATTATTCTAGGCCTAGTAGATCAAGCTGCTTAGGAAGCAACTCAGAAAAGGTCTTTCTGTCCTCATCGTTCACATTTGCAACCAGTGTACCAAATATCCAATGAATCTGGTAATGCCAAAGATAATTATATACAATCAGCTTCCATGCTAAATGATTTTTAAACAGATTCTTTTTTTTTTTTTTTTTTGCTGTGTAGCCCATGCTGGCCTATATGTAACCCAAGGTGACCTCAAACTCTCAATCCTCCTACCTCAGCCTCTCAAGTACTGGGATTGTGAATGTGTATGACCATGCCCAGCCAAATTCTTTTCCTTTCCAACTTATGCTAACCAGTTCACTTCCTAATTTTATATTTTATATACTCTAATGCCTAGTTAAGTAATTTTATGTTTTATATAAGTTTATAACATAGTTTTTTTTTTTTTCATTCCTGGCTCAATAAGTTATTTATAACTTGGTAATTATTATAAAATATTGGTTCTTTAAGCCTTGTTTTATTTATTTTTTTCCTAACTTAAGGTAACAGCTTCTGCACAAAAGTACAGAGAAGAGTATATAATTGAACCCCATCATCCCATCCCCAACTTCAACAATTATTAACTTGTAGCCAATCTTGGGTCTTTTGTTTTTTTTTCTGGCATTGCTGAGGATCAAACCAGGGTCTCATACCTGCTGAGCAAGTGCTCTACCACTGAGCTGAATCCTTTGCTGTCTTTATAGCAGCCAGTGTCATTTATTCTTTGTTTCTAACACCTTCCCGCCCTTCCACATTATTTTGAACCTCAGTCCCAGTTATCGTGCCATTTCATTTGTAAATATTTCAAGATGTAAAAGTTACATATTTTACTTTTTAAACATAACCACAGTAGCATCATCACAGCTCCATCAAAACAAAACTCAACAAATGTTTTTTATCGTTTCTTTGAGGATTTTTTTTTTTGGCATTACTGGGATTTGAACTCAGGGCCTCTTGGCTTACTAGGCAGGCACTCTACCACCTGAGCCACTCCTCCAGCCCTCATCATTTCTTTGTTTGGTTTTGTTTTTGAGACAGGATCTTGCTGTGTGTCTCAGACTGGCTAACTCAAGATCCTCCTGCCTCACCCTCCCAAGTGTTGAGATTATAGGTGTACGACACCACCACTGCACAATAATTTCTTAGTATTAAATATCCCATCCTTTTACATTTCTCTAATTGTTCATGTTTTTTAGTTTGTTTGTTTGTTTAACACCAATGTAATCATCCAGTTTACTTTTTTCCATAGATCGATTTGGGAGGTTGCCATTGGATGAGCCATCTGTACTTGTTAGTGAGTTTCTAGATCGTTTTCAAAGCCTTTGTCACTTGGACCTCCAGCTTCCTTCCTTGAGGCCAGAAGACTTGAAAACTATGGTGAGTTTTTCTTGGCTGGATTATAGTGGCCAGTGTTTCACAAAGCATTTCTTTTAATGACAAGAGGATATAGATTGCTACGAAGAGAACTACTTGTCTTTCATCTGACCTTTTCAGTTTTTTCCAGAAAGGCAACTGTTGAGGATTTGAGTAAATGAATTCCATTCAAGCATTTAAAGTAATCTTTAGGGGCTGGAGGTGTGGTTCAAGTGGTAGAGCGCGTGCTTTACAACCAAGAAACCCAGAGTTCAAATCTCAGTCCTACCAAAGAAAAAGAATAAGTCTTTAAGTGCATTAATTCAATTTTATCTTGATTCATTACTTAACTGTTTAACAGAAAATACTGAAATGTGACTGCATATGGTTTTTTGCATACCTTTTTCAAAGTACTAGAGGACAAGAAGCTCCCTTCTCCTTGTGAAAAGAAATGTTGAAATGCCCTGGTCCATCTATACTTTGAAGGTGAATATTTACTGGCCTGTGAGTCTCTATGAAGAGAAGCTGTATTGTAAGAAATAAAAGCTAGTTATTTTGGTTCTTCAAATTAATACTCTGCTATGGATTTTTGCACTAAACTGTTAACCTCTGGTACCTATTACAAATGTCACCTTGTCCCTAGCAAATGCAGTTTTTTCCCATACTCTCACAGTTCTTTATTGTTTTTAGAACAAAAATGAAGGCTGGCAAGCTCTGTTGTTCTGTCAGAAAGTAAATTCAGTGTCAGGGCAAGATGGAAAGAGTAATCTGTTTTCATTTGAAGTTTGGAAGTTCACAGGTTTCAAAGAAAATCTACAATTAGTAAATTGAAAACAATTTAGTACTAAAAAAGAGTTAGTAGTTCCAGGAACACTGATGGCCTTCCTCAGTCAGCAGGTCCAGAGCAGTTCAGAAAGCATCTATGATACCTGGCCCTGTCCTAGGATAAGTCCTCTTTGTCTTGTGATGCTGTCTTCATGTTTCCCCTTTCTTCCCAGATTTTTGCCTTTTATCATCTGTGCACATCATTGTGAATAAGTTTTCATTTTATGAGGTTGCAATTTAAAGTTTTTTTTACCTTGATTCCTTTGTAGTGCTTGACAGAAGATAAGATCAGTCTTTTGCTACACCTGCTTGAAGATGAACTTGATCACCAAACTGAAGAGAGAAAAACTACAAGCAAACTAGGCTCAGACATGCAAGTCCATGTCACTGCCTGTATTCTTTCTGTGTGTGGCTGGGCATGTAGGTTAGTTTTATCTGGGGACATGAACAATGACATATTTTCAGTCACTCATAGTATTTGGAAATTGCATGATGTTTCCTATGAGAAAAGAAACAAAGAGAAAATCAAGGGGTGGGAGTAGGGGGTGCAGATAATAAGGACTAGTAACAAAACTGGAATCAGAACTCTGAAATTCATAAAGTTTACATCTGAACTTTGTTTTTTGTTCTGCTGTTTCCCAGCTGGGTACTTATATAAATATAAATATTCCTATAAATAGTGGAGCTCTTTTCTAAAAATAGAAAGAAAATAAGCTCCTTTCTATTTTTAGAAGGAATTGATAAAAGCTACCAGAAGAAACATCAGCTGGAGTCCTCCCTGGCACCATGTTGGTATTTCCATTTCAGCTGCTCAGTTTGGCATAGATTGCCTTTGAGATAGAAGACTGTCAGACCCAGTCATGATTTACTTTAAATATGTCTTTGGTAGATTAAGGAAAGGGTTTTAAGAGAGACAGAAGAAATTTATAAAACATACTTCAAAATGGCCTTGCCATGGAGAGCACACCAAGACCCATAGACCTTTCTATAGAGAATATATAAAGATAATGTGGCTAGGGTCCTGAGATCGGGAACAGGGCTCTGGGAAGACATGGTTCCCAGTCCCCTGGACCACTTGAGATTTGTTGGATGAGATAAAATATAGTCACAAATTATTATACTTAGTCACATGGAGTGGCTCAAGTGGTAAAGTGCCTGCCTAGTGTGAGGCCCCAAGTTCAAGCCCCAGTACCACCAAAAAAAAAAATTCTTAGTCACATGGAAACATTGCCTTTGAAAACACCCACTTGCTTTTCCATTTCTTCCTAGTTCTTCTTTGGAACCCATGCAGCTCTCCCTAATAGCATGTTCACAGTGTATGAGGAAGGTGGGGCTCTGGGGCTTCCAGCAGATTGAATCATCCATCACTGAGCTGGATGCCTCCTTTGGCCTGACCAGCTCCCCCATCGCAGGCACTGAGGGTCGGCCAGAGCGCTTCGCTCTGATACCTGAATCTCCTCGGAGGATGATGACCCGGAGCCAGGATGCCACATTTTCCCCAGGTTCAGAGCAGGTATTGATTTAGCTTGTTTGGGGTGAACAGTTTAACAGCATTTTTACCAAAAATAAGGTTTAGTGGTACAGAGTTGGAAATTGATGGGTAGGCTTCACTTCTTTTTTTTTTTTGGGGGGTGGGGTGGGGGGAATACTGGGGGTTGAACCCAACACCTTGCATATAGTAGGCAAGTGCTTTACTACTTGAGCTATGCCTCCCTCTGGTCCTTTTGTTTTTGTTTTTGAGGTAGGGTCTCATTATCTTTGCTAATCTGGCTTTGAACTCTTGATCCTCCTGCTTCTGCCTCCTGAGTAGTTTGGATTATAGGCATGCACCAACAATCCTTTCTCTTTTTTTTTTTGTTTCTTGTTTTTTATTACCAACACTCCTTTCATTAGTCTTCACTTCTACACTGATGATCATGTCATGTTTCTCTTCACCAAGGAAGAAGCTAAATTTGTTCCAGAAATTCAGCATAGAAATAGAATATTGTTTGAAGAGTGTAGTTATGTAGTCAGTTCAGAAACTAAATTTTTATAATTTAAACTATAAAATGCTAGCCTTCATGTGCTTCTAGTAGTACTTCTGGCCATAACCATTAACATCATTCATGTACCTTCATTGTCTCCCCTTTCCTTCAGATTGAAAAGAGCCCAGGTCCTATTGTTTCCCGAACCCGGAGCTGGGATTCTTCCAGTCCTGTTGACAGGCCTGAGCCAGAGGCAGCCAGTCCCACTACCAGAAGCCGCCCAGTGACCCGAAGCATGGGAACTGGAGACAGCACCTGTGGCCTAGAAGTACCCTCAAGCCCTCTCCGGAAAGCCAAACGAGCTCGCCTTTGCTCGTCCAGCAGCTCGGTATGTCCACTTTGTAGGCAGCCATCACTGAGTACATCACATGTAGAATGGAGAAGCAGGTACGAACCTTTCCTGTTCCTGTGGCTAAATGTAGACTGTGTGAATACCTTTAAAGAGGGGACCATTAGGTAACCAGTAGGGAAAATCTTAAGGTTTTTGTCATTTGTTCCTTTGAGGTGAACTGGAGAGGTAAATATTTCAGGGTAATGGGACAACAGTGAGATATGGGAACAAAGCTGGCAAGGTTCAGTTTGTTTCAACAGTAGAGCTGAAAGAATAAAGAAAATACAAGGTAGAATTTAAAGGAGAATGGATTGAGGAGGCTGAGGCAAGAGGATGGGGGGAGCTCAAGTCTAGCCTGGGTTACATAGCAAGACCCTGTCTCAAAAAAAAAAAAAAGAAAAGAAAAACGAAGGAGAATGTAAAAACTAGCAATATAGGCAGTCGTGAGAGTGTGAACTTGACTAATTGTAAAGCCTTCCTGAATAGCTAGTATCTATCCTTCATTAACACTATGTCTCTTCCTCCTCCCTCAGGACACATCTTCCCGAAGCTTCTTTGATCCCACCTCTCAGCATAGAGACTGGTGCCCTTGGGTGAATATCACACTTGGCAAAGAAACCAGGGATAAAGGTGGAATGGAACTCAGTGCCAGCACCCCAGCAGAGCCAGGCTGGAAGGCAGTTCTGACCATCCTGTTGGCCCACAAGCAGGCTAAGGAACCAGCTGAAACAGACTCCATGGTGAGATTAGCTGTTGCCCTGCATCTGTGTAGCACTTGCTGTTTTGGGGATGAGTGGCAAAGCCTGGTCCTATAATTAGCACCCTGTATGCCTTCAGCTTTCCTAAATCAAGTTAGACTCACTCTGTTTTCATCCTAGAGAAAGGTATGAAAGTGGTTCAGTCTTTCTGCAGCTTAGCATGGGGCATTCCATCATATTCTGATAAATTCTTTGTTCTCCCATATAAAATGACTCAAAGTAGAAAGGAATACAGAAGTGCAAATAGATGAATAGGCAGCTGCTCCGGCCTCATATTGCAGAGCAGCTGCTTTTTCCATCAGTGGCTGTCACTTGCCTTTGGAGCCTGGCCAGTTAGCTTAGCTGTTTGGAGCTCTGTGCTGTGACACTAAGCTTATGATTCCAATCCCCAAGTGGGACACATTACATTATTCTGTTCTACAGCCCAGGCATGTGCCCTGGACCATCACAGTCATGACTGCTGTGGTTACAAATGTGGGTAAATGCAAAACCATCATAACAACTGAGAAAACAAGTCAAGTATTTGCTTCATGTCAAGAAGGAAAGCGATAGGACATAAAGGAATCATGAGAATGGGGTCCTCTTTCCTTTGCAGGCTCAATTCCAGACTTGCCTTGTAGTCTAGTGTAAATATAGCAGTTTCTGACCTCTAGATCCTCCAGAGACAAAGTAAAATAATGCTTGTCAGCCAGCATTCCCAGATTCATGGTTTTGTAAGGTCACAGGGTTCCACCAGAGGGAGCTACAGTGATGCTACAAGATCAACAATGTGTATCAGTGCTTCAGTTAATATGTAGATGAAGGTATTCCAAGTTTTTACAAAAAAAAAAAAAAACCTGCAATTCTTTTTTTCAATTTAAAACTTTTGCTGGGTGTTGGTGGCTCGTATCTGTAATCCTAGCTACTCAGGAGACAGAGATTAGGAGGATCAAGGTTCAAGACACTATCTCAAAAATTACCCAATATCAAAAAAGGCTAGTGGAGTGGCTCAAATGGTAGAGCACCTGCCTAGGAAGCATGAAACCCTGAGTTCAAAGCCCAGTACTATTTAAAAAAAAAAAAGTAGGAATATGTAAAGCTATTTAAAGACAAGTATTTGACCCACCACTCAACTTGGAGGTATTAGATCTGTCTTTATCCACAAATCCACAAATACTTTCTGCCTAGATCTTCAGGAAATAATGTTTTAGCAGTTTTTATTAAGACTTCCCTCTGTCACTCTTGTATTAAAAAAGAAACCCTACAGTGTTTTAGTTGTTGTTTTGAGGGGTTTTTTTATAGTGGAAAGAGTTGGCCTCATAATTGGTCCCAAGTTCCGGGACTTTCAAGATCTTTTTTGGTAGCACGTTTTAACCTAGCTGCTATGACTAGATGATACAAAGCTTAATGGCCTGCTGGTGAAGGATCTTGATGTTTGAAAAAAGTTTATATTTTTTTTCAACTGATTTTCAGCTTTGTCATTAAATTAAATTACTCTTTTCCTCCTGGGACTTTATTTTTTTGAAATACTCATCCACAAAGAAGATAAGAAAAGAGAGGAAATGCCATCTTATATTAGAAGCCAGACGTGGCTTTATAGATAGTCTTGCTAAATATCCTTTGTACTCTCACTGAGACCCTTGCTGCACGAGTATCTGTTCTTTATTGGCACTTTCAAAGGCAGAGAGAACCAAGTGTTCTGACTTACTGAGAACTTTTATCTTCTAATGAATTGCTTTGTCTCCCTGTAACATCATTTCTCAGAATCTCAGAGCACTTCACAGGTATGATCAAGTGGCAATGAGAGTTTTTTCTATTTTTAGCTCTACTGACTAAAACATGAAGCTGAGAAGCCAAGGTCATAGTTTAAACTCTTAGGGGTCATTCAACTTTGTTTTATTTCTAAGCTTTTAATTTAACTGCTAATCTCAGCTAGATATCACATAAATGTGTATCCTTATTTACCAGAAATATGAATTAGAGACAATTGAGCATCATGAATGAAAAAAAAAACCAGTACAAAATGTGTGCTGCACTAATGATGGGTCAGAAGGGCCATCATCACGTACAAAGTTTCGGACACGCACAGATACTTGGAGGTAGGATATGAGCCAGGTTTTGGAAGCTCAGAGTGTGCTAGCCGTCTGACAGCAGAGTGCAGAATTCTTGATGTTGTTTAACTTTAGCTTGTACATTATGCATAGCAAAAAGAGTTTTTACTCAGTCCTAGATATGTCTAGATCATTGTGGGAGAAATTTATAGCCCGAGCCCTAAAGCTATTACCTGTCTTTTGTCTCTATAAGATAATTTATTCCTAATGATAAGCTTTTCTACCTATAGAGTCTCTCTGAAAAGTCAAGGAAAGTGTTCCGAATATTCCGGCAATGGGAATCTTTATCCTCATCCTGAAGATATTGCAGCCCTTTCCTGCAGAGAATTGAACTGAGAGTGACTTTTTGAAAAATAAAGTCTGAATTATCTTTTGATCAGCTGATGCTAAGTTTTTATCCATCATGGTTTAATGACAGGAAGCCTCTGCCATTGTAAAGACAAAGAATGTCAGCCATCTGCATGAAAGAGAGGAGATCCATTTCCATGTGGGATGTGGACAAGGGAAGGTACAGCAAGACCCATTTTGTGTAAAGACCACTGTGTGATGAAACCAGATGGAAGACCAAGGATCAGAACATCCATTTCAGTAGCTTTAGTGTGTCACAGTGCTCCAAGGATTCTTATATACCAGGAATATGAGAGTATGTGTTAATAAAATATTTGCTAAGATACTAAGCTACTTCCTGCTGGAGAATTGTTTTCCCCTTTGCCTGATAGACTGAAGAAGACCTCAGTGAGTCAGACTTTGAGTTTCCAGATTGGTGACAAAAAGCAGAATTTATTTGTAATTCCAGTCAAAGGGGTGTAGTCTTTCTTAAACCCTAGACAAGGTGGTTTTCATCATTACCAGGTCTCCTGTTGTGACTCAGTACATGGTGAGCTGATTGTCTTTTCCTCACTTTGATGATTAGCAAAGAAAGAACAGAACAGGAGGAGGGAAGAAGGCACTCAGAAGAGGCTCCCTCCATGTGCCTTCCAATCCCTGACTTACCTGATTGGAGTTCCCTAAGGTTCTTTCCTTCCTTGTGGGGATCATCAGCCTTTGTGGTAGAGAAGATTGACCCTGAACTTGACCCATATAAATTTTACTGCCCACTAGTGAAATGGCTATGACCTACTGGAGACTGGGAAGTGGCTGTTCTTTGGTATGCCAGATTTTAGTAACTGGTTGGTCACTTTTAAAATGAAGTATTTTAAAGGAAATAATAGATACCATAATATTCTATTTAGAAATATACTTTTTATTCCTAAAAAATAGAACTTTTCTCTACATACTATACCCAACAAAAATTAATCCCTGAATATCATCTGATACTCAAATCTATATTCAAAATTCCTAATTGTGGGACTGGAGTATAGCTCAGTGGTAAAGCATGAGCCTAGCATGTCAAGGCCCTGGGTTCAGTCACCAGCACTCCCCCACACTTGAAATTGCTGGTTGTTCAACTTACGTTCTTTACATCTGACTTGTCCAGACCAGGGTCCAATTCAAGATTGTAGGATGCATAATTCTTTGAAGGACAGTTTTTTTAATTGTGCATGTCAGATTTCAAATTCATCATTTTTCAGCTGGGCTCCAGTGGCTCACACCTGTCTAGCTACCCAGGAGGCAGAGATCAGGAGGATCACAGTTCAAAGCCAGCCCTAGGCAAATACTTCATGAGACTATCTTGAAAAAACTCATTACAAAAAGGGCTGGTGGAGTGGCTTAAGGTGTAGTCCCTGAGTTCAAATCCCATATTGCAAAAAAAAGAAAAATTGTCATTTTTTTTATTGTGATTTTTAAAAGGGTATATTGAACAGTGTTGTTCTTTCTCCTAAATCAAGCTTCTACCAATGAACAAGGCCACATTGAGGCTGCTTCTCCTTCCTTTGATAGTGGTAATGACTTCACTGTTCATTCTTGGTCTCTGTGTTTCCCCTTAGAAAGAGACTAGTGGGCAACTCTCTAACATTCACAGAAATGAAACCTGAGGCCCAGGGTGGGAAACCATTTGCTGAAAGGTGACTGTGTGAATTAGAAGTCTCTTCTTCGACTCAGGGTATTTTTTTTAAACATTTCCAGTATTTTTTTTTTCGATGCTGGGGTTTGAATTTAGGGCCTCACACTTGTTAGGCAGGCACTCTACTACTTGAGCCACACCCCAGCCCTTTTTTGCTTTAGTTATTTTTTGGATAGGATCTCAAATTTTTGTCTGAGACCAAGCTTGGACCATAATCCTCCTACCTATGCCTCCATGTAGCTAGGATTTGCAGGAATGCACCATCATGTTTATTGAGATGAAGTTCACTATTTGCCCAGACTGGCTTTGAATTGCGAGCCTCCTGATCTCCACCTCCTGAGTAGCTGGGATTAATCCACTATAATTTTTTATTTATACCCCCTCCAAAAAATACTTACATTCATTTAATATAGGCCTAATTCCATGGTTTTTATTTATTTTTTTATCATGGATGGAAGCAGATTGAGACAGACTTGTTATTGCAACAAACATTGAATCTCTTTTGTATAAGAGGCACTGCTAGCCCTCACAGATGAATGAGTACCTAGTTAGTACCTTCAAGAAGTTTATAGCTCAGGCCAGAAGACATGAGTGTTGTTTGAATATGCAAATGTTACACAAGAGAAATTGTGCCAAATGTGCTGTAGGAGAAATAAAAGAAAGTTAATGCTCACGTAATGGGACTGGAGAGAATTTCAAGGAAAGTGTAGATTGAAACTACACCTTAGAGTAGGAAATGGAGGCTCCATCAGAATAAAACAGGAATCTTGTCTATCTTGGTTTTTTAATGCTAACACGTAGCCAGGCACCAGTGGCTCACACTTATAATCCTAGCTTCTTGGGAGACTGAGATCAGAGGATCGAGTTTTGAGACCAGTCCAGGTAAATAGTTCAAGAGACCCCCCCCCCATCTCCAGAAAATGGACTGGAGGTGTGACTCAAGCAGTAGAGCGCCTGCTTTACAAGCATGAAACCCTGAGTTCAAACTTCAGGAAAAATCCCAACACATAAAGCAATATTTGACACATAATGGACACTTAGTTTAAAAGACATTTGAGCTGGGTAGTGTGGTGGTACATGCTAATAAATCCCAGCTAGTTGGGAGGTTGCGGCAAGAGGATCTCAAGTTTGAGGCCAGCCTGAGCAATGTAGCAAGACCCTGTCTGAAAATTTTGAAAAAAAAAAAAAAAAATTTTTTTTTTAAGGTGACAAGGGTGTAGCTCAGTGATGATAGAGCACTTGCCTTAGCATGCACAAGCCTTGGGTTCAATCCCCAGTACAATAAAACAAAACAAGGATATTTTGGGCTGAAGGAACACAGCAAATGAGCAAAGTGTAGGATATGTTCCAGAAAGGGCACGTGTTTTGTAGCTAGACTCTTACACTAAGTTGAAGAGAGAGGTAAAGAGAATGAATGTTGAGCCAGAACTGTGAGATAAATAAACCTCTTTTCTTTATGAACTGCCCTGTCTCAAGTATTTTGTTGTAGAAACACAAAACAGACTAAGACATTTACAATCCACAAAGATAGCATTAAAAGAAAATATCCCACTTATATTACCCAGATGAGGTAGCTTTATGGGATGCTGCGTAACTCTGTTAACTTCAGTGCCTTCATCTCTGCCTCCCAGGCCACTTTTTGCAGCCCACAGTCCCACTGATCAGGCCAGGTAGAGGTATTTTGAAGACTCCTTAATATTCAGGGTTGCTCAGATCCCTTTATTTTCTCAGTCCTCCCAGTCTTCAGATTCTCCTTTCAGTATTTTTCTCCACTAGAACATGTAGAATTCTATGTTTTGTTTTAACAAAGGTTAAAGATCTCACCTAAGTAGATTTTGTTTTTACAGAGAGGAAAACTGAAGCTCAAAGGCATTTAATAACCAGCTCTGTCATAGCTAGAACATGGCAGAGCAGCACTTTAATGCATCTTCTGTTCTTTCTTTTACAGTACAACTGGGAATTGTGATTTTCCTTTCCTCAGTACAAAAAGTTGAGCCCTGACTCTCATAGTAGAAAGGAACATATTGCAACTGCTCATGGGATACTAGTATCTAGAAGGCAGTCTCTTCTGGCTCTTCTTAGATTTTAGCCAACTTTTTAATAGATTTAGCAAGTAGAACGTTCTCTTTGGGGCTTCCATCATTTCCTCATTGCACTTAGACCATAGGTGGCTGCCCCCCAAGCCAACTCTTGAATCCCTTCCACTCTATCCCATCTTAGCAACAAGAACAGCTGCATGTATAGCTTGCCCAACAACGAAAGTACAGACACTTCCTCCTCACTTTTCCTTTCTATTTTTAGTTCTATTCCCATCCTGGGCTTTCTTTGCCTTTACATAGCTGTTATCTGTGCTGGTTGACCCGCCCTCACAAGAAAATGCTGCATTTGAGCCCTTTAAGGAGAGACCATTCTTTCCCTCTTTAGCCCCTGTTGTCTTTTCTCTCACTGCTCCCTGGCTACAGTTATGTTGCTTGTTGCTCTTCTTTCCACAGCGCTTCTGGTTGAATTGGTTGGCATGTAGCTGAAGCCAGTAGAGAGAAAAGAAAAGGGGACACACAAAGGCCTCTGGGCATGACAGGTAGGTCATGGAGATGGGGTCATTTATCCAAAGACTAAGAGTATTCTAATAATATGCTTGCCAGCTCTCGGAACTCACTTCTATCAGCTATTTAGTGCTATCCCAATCGGCAGATATGGTGGAGCATCAGCAGCCCTCAAGAGGGTGGAGAGGGAGCCTAACATGAGAGACCTAACAGGACTTAAGATTCACGTCCATGGAAGGCCCTTACAGTTCTCGTGCGAAACCAGGATGACAGAGACTAGATAATCCTTTTCAGGCCCTATGTCCATTTCCAGGCTGATCCTGTCCAGCTTCATGAGAGCCAAAGGAGAGACAGGAAATATACATGAGAGTCCCTGGACATCAGGGCGGGTTTGGAGCCATTGTGAAGTGGAAGCAAAGCATCTGGAGTCTGCCTTCTAGCATGATGTGAGAGAAAGGAAAAGGAGAAACAGTCTTGAGCAGAGAAAGCCTAAAAATTGATTTTACTACAATTACAAATAGCTGTGATTGTTAGTGCAGGTTGCTTGCCAGGTATTAAGTATAAATACTGGACATGTTTTATTTTACGTAAACCTCAGCAATCCTAAAAGGTTGGTGCAATTACTAAAGCATAAAACATAAGTCAGTTACTTTACTCAAGGTTGCCCAGCCAGTAAGCAAGGGCTAGGATTCAAACTCAGGCCATCTGTTCCAAAGGCTGTGCTCCTAACACCACTCTGCCTCTGAACTATGGATATGGTTCAAAAGAATTAACACTTGATTACACGGAGTATAAGTTAATAGAATGTTATTCAAACCATTAAAATGATCATTGTACTGACAATATAGTAATGTGGACCCCGTCATTTGTGATACATAATGAAAGCAATTTAAATGTTACCAGAAGACAAGTTGAGAAAATGAAATGTCAGTGTATCAAAATGAAGATATAAACCAGGCATGATTATACACATCTGTAATCCCAGCTCCTCAGAAAGTGGAGGCAAGGAGGATCACAAATTTGGGGACAGCCCAGGCAAAGGCACTTTCTCAAAAAAAAAAAAAAAAAAAGTGGGGGTGTATGGGTGATGGAGCCCGACGGCATGCTTCACTCACTAGCATGCCTGA